ATCTGCATGGTCCATGGATATCGATTAACTACAGCTGAGAAACAACTTTATCTACGCATGTAACTTTGTAAGCATTATCTTATCACCATGTGTTTTCACACTGGTAGTAGGGATGGTGAAATGTAGGATAAGAGGCGATATACCTCTTCGTGGAAGGCTGTGGCGCAGGGACGCGCCTTTGGTTCGGACTCAGAGGCTGGGAGGCGCCCCCGCGGGTATGTGGGACCGATTCCCTTCTTCCATATCATGATAAAGAGAGTACACGTGCAAGCTTTGTTACATAGAAATAGCCGTCACTTTCCCCACGTGTCGGCACCGTCCACCGACCCGGCGGGTCGGCGGACCGGTCCTTGATTGTGCAACCACTTTGTATATAACGCACAGGCACTGGCGAATCAGAATCAGAACCACAGTTGGAATACAAGTCTCGGCCCGCTCAGTCATCTCTCCATCCGCGCCTCCGCGACAATGGTGGCAGCGGCGGCCGAGGGGACTTGTGCCCCTCACCACGGACCCCAGCCTCTACATCTGCACTGACATCGCAGACTGGTTAGTCCGTGCTCCGTGACAGTGTATCGCCCCTACGTCACGTCATCGACTAGGGAGCTGACCATCCTGGACTCGTCATCGTCCGACATCACCGTCTCCAGTGAGTAGCTCTGCCCGGCAATACCATCTGCCCTGCGGCCCAACGTCATCAGCTGCCCTGGACTACTACGGAGCCCGCCGACAGCGCACGGCTCATCAGCCCGCGCCGTCCTCCTCAGCATCATCGAGTGATGGACACCACCTCGCTGAAGGACTCAAGATCGGAGGAGAGAAGAGAAGAGAAAAAAAATATCAACGCTAAATTCAAGACAAATTGACACCCAAAATCAAGAAAATTCACCCATTATGTACTTTTGCTGTATTTTCGTCAAAAAGTGACAGTGAAATTGTGCTGTGAAATTTGTTTTAACTTCGATGTGTTTCAAAAACCGTACTGTTTCATTATCCGTTTTCGTCAGTGTTCTGTCGTTTGTTGCGCTTCATTGTGGTTGCTCACCCCAAAATTCACGGAGAAATTGCAAGTGCGTTTAATTTTTGCCTGCACTTTGCCGTGTCATTTTGACACTAGTAAACGTAGAAAGAGCATACTCTGAACGGTATGAACATTCAAATACGTTAATCGTGGTCAATTCACTGAAATTATATTGTGTTGATATTCGGCCAGAGATGCCGAGGGCCATGGAGATGCCCAGGGACGGTCCCCGCCAAGAGTGCGGAGGGATCGCCCGGTAGTAGGTGTAATTGTCACGAAACTTACTTATCTGTTCATACCATTTTGTGATACGCTCATATGGAAATTTCTTTCTCCGTCAGCTAAACGTTTCCTCTCTTTGTTATGATCGCTTCGGTTCCCTACGCTTCCCTGGGGGAGGGAAGATAATGTGGGACCGATTCCCTTCTTCCATATCATGATAAAGAGAGTACACGTGCAAGCTTTGTTACATAGAAATAGCCGTCACTTTCCCCACGTGTCGGCACCGTCCACCGACCCCCGACCCGGCGGGTCGGCGGACCGGTCCTTGATTGTGCAACCACTTTGTATATAACGCACAGGCACTGGCGAATCAGAATCAGAACCACAGTTGGAATACAAGTCTCGGCCCGCTCAGTCTCTCTCTACTTCCGCGCCTCCGCGACAGGTATCCGTTCCGCCCCAGCGACCAGCGCGGCGGGCGGCTCGTGCAGCACGTGCCACGTCTGGCATGATGGTGCAGTTCCGTCCGTGGAGAGCTGGGACAGGTCAATTTGGACGGTCTGCCAGCTTGGACAGTCAGCTTTCGGCAGGCTACGGAAAGCTGCCGAGTGCCGATCTAGTGAACACATCCATGTAGTTTGGCGCAGGTCATGAAGAACGCAAATCACTGCAATCCTCGGTCATCAGCCAAGCAATTATCAGATGTGAGATAAGCACATTCTTGTGAGGAATGCATTATGTGTACTTATTCTCATAAAACATGCCTTTATCTTCCTCGGTAGCAGCTGTAGTAAATAAAATGATCATGGTGCCGCAACGTGGTAGAAATGAACATGTGACTGCGCCTCTCTTTTAGAGCTCGCATGGTCGCATTTTCACCCGGACCATTATTTCCTGTTGGCGACGCATAGAACGAGAGGCGTAGGCATTTATATTGTGTTCGCTTTATGCGCATTGCTCTTGATCTACTGACCCCGACCCGCTTTGTGACTTGCCGTTCGAAAGAATAAAAACCCGAAAGGTTTTCCCAGGAGCTGTTTGTGGAAATCCTTTGCCGTCCAAGTGTCCATGGATGAGCTATTTTCGCAGTCAGCTTATCCGGCCGTCATTTAGATGGTAGAGCGAGATGCCGGCACACGAAAGTGCCAAGAGTCATGGGTCATATCATTGTTTGTCCTACCGTTTGTCTTAGACATTTGTACTCCTAAAAACAGCACTGATGATAAACTGGCTTGGAGAAGTCAATTAATAGTCATGCTCATAGTCATGCTTTGATAAGTCCGATAGTCAGTATACCTCGTTCTAAACATTCTAACACACGCCATGACGGTGCGTGGCCTAAGGAAATCACCGAGATGAGTGGTGCAAAGGTCCACTCTTTTACGCCCCTATCCTTTGTGTAGGCTTTGGGCAGCGGTAACCTTTATTTAAACATAGCTGGGAATGGATCTTTATACCTAAATAATAGCAATAGGCCGGACCAGGGCATCCAGTTATTTATCTTTCCGATGAATTGGGAATTATAATCAATGCCTAGCAAGTTGTTAGTTAACATTTGAATTTCTGAAACTTTTCATAGATTTGTGTCAAGAGGCCACCGGCCGTCAAATAATTGCGGTTGCAAAAACATGTTTTATTACAAAGGCGTCTGATGGAATATTTGTATATGTAGTCCATAGACCTCTATACAGAGGTCTATGTAAAGTCATTAGGTATACACTATACAATCACCAAACCATACTTTCCCATCAAGACCCATAAATTAGCAAGCATGTTTGACTTGGAAACAGAATAAAAAAGGCACAGGTCACGGTCAGAAACTGACCAAAGGGTGTTGCATGTCATTTGATCTGCCTTAGATGACATGAATCACATTATCAATGGATATCACATTATTCATGGCATCAATAGATCTGCATTTTGGAATAAAGATATGCAGGACAGATAATTCAATATAATTTCTACCCATTCCTGAAGCTACCGTGTTAACATCATTGACCTGTCAATATTTTGAATAAAACAGCCAAAAAATCCAAAAAGTTTTTTGAATTTCGAAAAAAACGGAATATATGTGATAGTCCCTACCACCTTCTATCCACATACCAAATTTGAGATTGATACTTCTTTTTTTTTTTGGCCAAGTTATAGCGAAAAAATTGTTCAAAATTGATGACGTCAAATTTTTAAACTCAATTTTCAGCAATTCTAGACGTCGTAGCGCAAAACAAAGACCACCATTAGACTCAGCTGCAACAAATCAATACCCATTTTATGCAAAACTATCAACTTTGAAATTTGACCTTTTTTGACCTAACCTTGACCTGACCTCCTCCAGAAAGTGACCTAAACCGTGGGACCTGATGGTCATATAATCAACACCATTGAGTTGGAAATGAAAAATTGGCCATAAAACATTCATCGCACAACCTTAGTAAAGTTGGGTTCATGTGCTGACCTTTGATGACCTGACCTGTGACCTGACCTGGTATTATCAGTGACCTCTAATAGCATCATATGTACTACGCAACTGACGCCCTATCGCTGATTTTCGACACTCGGTGTTTTACTCGGTTTTACTCGGTGTTATAGCGCATTTCCTAGAAACCTGTGAACGGTGGAACATTTCATCTTTGACCTGATCTGTGACGTCATCGATGACCCCGAGGCCAATGAAATTTGGTTTCCTTCGACAACTTTGACGGGGCTATCTAACGCCGTTTGAATTTCATGGATCCGTCCAGTAGTTACGGAGATACGGGAGGGGGGGCAAAATGCCCCCCCCCCCACCGCGTGGAAGGTGACCGGAAGGCCCACCGCCTGCCGGGTTAACACAGCTCTTTCCTTACCTCCATGCGGAGTGTGACACTCCACAGTGAGTCCTTCCAGCGGTCCTCTCCAAAGGTCCTTCCAGCCGTTCACCGGTCCTTCACCAGTCCTACCACTGTGCCAGTGCCACCCACCGATCCCACTGTGTCCCCGACCAGTGTCACCCACCGGTCCCACCGGTGCCTCCCACAGGAGCGCGCGCGGCCGCCACCAGCCGGCCAGAGAAACTGAGCGGCCACCGCAGCCTGGCGCCGCTCTTACCGACCGGGCCGAGCACGAGTCACGAGCCAGGCTGGAGATGCTCCGTGAAAGTGGCCGCAGATCGCGCTTTGACAACGCCCAGAGGGTAAATACACACACCCGACTGGGAGGTGGATTATTAGCGAGGCTATTTAGCGTGGCTGCTTGGTATGATTGATGCGGCGAGCATACATTAGTAGCCCCAACGGAGAAATGAAAGAGAATTGGCACTGGTTTGTTGCTGCAAGGTGAACTAACTAGTCCTAAAAAACATTAATAGTTGCCCTATATGGGTTCACTGGCGCTGTTGTTCCTTTTGCAGGAACAAGCATCGATTTTTTTTTTTTTTTGCTTTGCATTGTTTACGGGTTTAACTAGCCTAGAATATGTGCAGAAAAGATGTATGATAAGGTGTGCTAAAAACGTTGACGCTGCGCGCCGCCGTTTTTTAGACAAATTCGCGAAAAAAAAACCTGAAGAGGAGCTAAAAATCCCCCCCAGGTCACGGTGCGGGTTAAATGATAGTCTTATGGTTAAACAGAAATGTCACGTGTAGTTTATAAGCAATCTTAATATAATGTCGCAATTTTCGTTTCAATACCGTTATCGGTACCTCTCCAATGTTTTTTTTTTTTCATTGACGATGCATCGTTGCCGTAAGCGGCCGGTTCTTTTCATTGATTGACCAATGCAGGCATTAGGAAGTGTATTCCAGCACAAATGTAGTATATTCCCCACAGAACGCAGCCTTCCGCTCTGTCTCCGACTCAGGGCAGACCGCTGGGCGGACACGCCTCCTCAGACGCGCAGTGCGCAGAGGAAGCGGGACCGGCGGCCGCAGTGCTGGTCCTCCCACTCTCCGGTCGTGTACAGCTCCGCCGAGCGGCGACCGCTCACCCTCACACAGTCGTGGTCGGGCCCAATGCGCGCGCCGTTCGGCTCGTCGTACTCGGCGTACCACCAGTGGGTGGAGAGGACCTCGGCGGCGTCGGCGGTGCGCCAGCGCAGGCGGCCGTCGGGAGCGGGAGTGGACCGCAGACCGATCCAGTAGTAGGCGGCGGTGTCCATGCCAGGCACGATCCTCACCAGGGCGTCGTAGTCGGCCACGGAGCCCAGCGTGGCTCCCGGCTGGAGCTGGTCGCACCGCTCCTCTGCCTCAGTGAACGTCTTGTTCTGAATGTCGTGCAGCATGTAACAGGCGTCGTTATGTCTTATCCAGTGTTTGTTCGGGCAGGCGACTTCAGGATCCTGCGTGAGGAGCAATTGAACAGCGTTAGAATCTCACTTACATGCACTTATCATACGACAGCACACGCCTTTACAGAAAGCTTCTGATAACTGACGACGTAAGATGATAAGCAGCTTGTAACCAACCTTTTTCAATTCGCAGAGGAAGTATGCCTCCAGGCTGCAGTCCCAGTCCATCCAGGTACCGCTGGCGCCGTACTCCTCGTCATTAGGCACCTCGCCGATGAGGAGCACGCAGTCGTCGTTGGTGACGCTGGAACCACTGGGCTCCTGGTGACGCACCACCTCCCAGTTGGTGTAGTCCAGCGGCTCGGCAGCCGCCGTGCCGCTGTTCCACTCGGCGTCCCCGGAGCGCAGACCCACCCAGTAGTAGTCCGAGGCGATGATGGACTCCTGCTTCGACAGGAAGGCCTTGTTGGCATGCGTCACCGAGGCCAGATAGGCGCCCTCCTGGAGCTCCTGACAGCCGCTAGCGTTGGCTTCATTCCAGTCCAGATACTCGTCACTCAGCCGGTAGCAGACACTTCGGTGGGGACCCACCCAGCCGTCCGGACAGGCCTGTAATGTGGATACGTGCATCAAGAACGGTTTACGTAGCCAGCGATTATAATATCAGTCATATTCCGCTACTTATGACGCAAAACAAAAAAAAATCCGAGAATGCAATTTTAACGCTAATGATTATAAGAACCCAGTGAAAATCATGAATACCAATATATTGCAAAACATTTCACCGATACTGCAGTACCTACCACATATGTGTGGTAATATCATTCACCAGCTCATCACCTGTGGCTGTGTCCATCGGTCTTTATCTTATGGGCTTTTTCTGTATACCCATATTTTAACCCTGTCACAAAACTGTTGTGGATCAGAACATGGAGCATGAGGTTAATGGTAAATCATTTGTTGAATTATGGGCGAGGATAAAACAGGATGCATCCAGCTGTTGCAAGAGCTCCGAGGGAACAGTTCTATGGTAACTACGAGGAAATTCGACTGCAACAAACATTTCAAAATCGGCCGTTTTGCGGTAAAAGCAGAACCGCCAGGAATTGATGGTTTTCCATGTTGAAGAGAAATGAAAACGTTAAGCGTGTGAGACAGCTGGTGATGAAAAATCCGAGATCAGTGGAGGTAATGAATAATGATACTAAAGGATCTTGACATAATAAGGGAATAAGTCTGCACCACCTTGATGCAGCAATGAGGGTGCAAAGAGTTGAGAGTTGCATGGGTAGGGAGAGGGAATATAGTCCCTACCCATGCCATTCCCTATAGGAAATGGCTGCTCCATCATGACAACCCGTTCTCATAAGAAACACTTCATAGGAAGCAATTTTTGACAAATAGTCGGACTACAGGGCTCAAACAACCATCGTATTCAACAGATCTTGCATCGTGGGACTTCTGGCTCTTCGCTGACTAAAAAGTCAGCTTTAGGGAACACATTCTGTGTCCCTATCTTAGCCCTCGCATGTGTGCGGCGTTTGCCAGCTTCTAACGTGTAGGGGGGGGGGGGTCGGTTGGACCCCCCTTGCCGTTTGGCCCCTGATTGAGCTAGAGCTTCGTGGAAAAAAAAACGAGCGTGTTGCCCGTCGCGAGAAGAAGCTGATGATACCCAATTTGAAGGTCTTAGGTCATTGGTTGACCTTCCAGGTCAGGTCAATGACCCAAAAGTCTGGAAAATTGGGATTGGTTAGAAAGTCGTAAAGTGTGGCTGCTGAGTTTTTTTTTTCGGGGTGCTGATCACGAACATCGTGTTAGTTTTGATCACAGATGATGTCGTTAAGCATTTAGACCAGGTCGGGTCAGGTCAGGTCGGGTCAACCAGTAGGGGTTGTGACGGGTATTCGTATTACGTGTCAAGCGCCTCTGACAGCTTCGTAACATGCTACGACTTCGTAGGTGTTCAAATGGTTTCTAAATTCGAATTCCGCTCCAAAAACTAGCCTAGAAACATGTAAAACTCGAAAAAGTGAACCGAGGTCACCAAAGATCAATGACCTGATCTGATCTTCAAGTGACCTTGACATCCACCCTAATTCATGGGAGCAGCATCAGATCACATGTTTGAACGTTTGAAGCCACGAAAAGCTTGCAAACGCGCGGCTAATGCGAGCCGACATACGCCGAATCGCGACTCCGGCCAAACATGGCCTCAAGAAATAGGTCACAGGTCAAAGGTCACTTGGGTCAGGGTCATGAAATTTTTAGAGCAGGTGTAAAATGAATCAACTCGAGGATACTTTAAGTTTCGTCGCAATCGGCCGCTTTTTGCGCGAGTTATTTGCGAAAAACGCGATGGAGGTTCGTTCGACCTTCAATAAGTGTGAGGGTTAAGAACCATAGGGCAACATGAAATATTTTTCAATCATGTCAAAGTGTGGTCCTTGCAGATTGTATTGATGTAGGTAAGTACATACATGTAATGCATTGCTCTATTTCATGAGAGAGTGGAGCAATATTGAAAGGAGCCAGCTTATGCCATTTTGTTTCGAAACCGGTTTAAATATTTTATCAAGGAATAGATAAATAAATCCGTTTAGGAGGAGCAAAATTAGAAACGCGATGGAATTCCTAACCGCATGCTACTTTATTGATAGGTGGATGCGCTCATGCCAATCAAGGCAGAATGAAAAGGCGCAGCCTCAATATAAAATGTTAATGCAGACTTAGCAGGCCACCTTGGGTAACGGGGTGCAGTTTTTGTTAGTCACAAGTCTGTACAACACTTTACACGTGCAACGGTAAACGAGAAACATATTCAAGACTCCAGCTGTTCAAAAAGAACCAAATCAAGAAACACCATCGATGTCAAGCTTATGACAGCTTTAAAAGCGTTAGGAAGAACACCAGACATTTCATACCAAACTTGTTATATGTATAGAATTCCTGAACAGTGAACTAGACACGTGTATCTGTATCTTACGGAGTCGCTGAGAAGGCTGGCGTTGGACGGAATGGCCAGCTGCACGCAGACGAGCATGACGGTCCTCAGGAGCCAGCCGTTGAAGGTGGCCATGGTGACGACGAGCGACGACGAACGACGGACGACGGACGACGGAATTGGCGAACGAAGGACGACGAACGACGGACGACGGATGACGGACGACGGGCGACGGACGACGAATGACGAGTGACGGACGGTGGAAGGCGGATGGCGGCCGATGAACAGCTCGGGCTGCCAATTGGGCCATGGAGCTTGGACAGGTGCGCGCTGGGTGTGATATCAGCCAGATATATATATGTATGTACACGTGTCTAAACGTGATGCCTCATGGCGGGGGGTGACATTCGTTTTTTTTTCTCTCTTTTCATGGTGAGTCAGTACAGCTGAACTGCTTTTCGCAGGTTGGTAGAGACGTTTAAAACTCATGTCGGTAAATTCTCCTACCAATTATTGTGCCAGTATATATCGGTTTATTGCAGTTCTATCGGTTTTGTCTAGCTGTTCATTCTCAGCCCCCTGGCTTCAAGCTTCCGTTGTGGTCAAGAGAAAGCGCACAGTGTTGCAGGATGACACTTTACTGCACCTCATTACGCCAGTGTTACGTCGTTGCGTCGTTTTTACGTTGCAGGTAAGAATGGCTATACATTAACTCATAAGCCACCATATCCATCTTGCGTCAGGATGTTGCCGTGCTGTATAGTCACGTCTAATGTAGGTGCGATGTCTGTTCAATATCCTGACGTATGGACTATTGAATCTTTCAGCTGTGTCCTGTGGTAATGTCCCAAAGCGATCTCCTGTTCATATAACGACAAAGTTATGTCATGATGCAGGTATATCTGCCCGTTTTCACACGCTGCTTGTGATATATCTATCTTAATTGCGGTAAGGCTGGTTTGAGTTTCTAATGAAATGTATGCGATGAGCTTGAAAAATGTTCCGGTGCATCGCGACGAATAGGTTAAGGCCGTGTATTAATCAAAACGCCATCCACTTATGTAAATAGAATACAACTTTCTCTTGAATGACAGCAATCTAAGCTATCTAGGAATCAATTATTTTGAAAAAGTTTAGCGCCGCGTACACAACTGTGCTGTCGCTAGGAAGAAAAAGCTGCTGGGCACTCAAACATCGCCCCCAATTATTATGCAGTTGGCCAGCGCTAACAAGGCAAAAACATCGGTCAGGTAGTGCACGCATAGCGCGTGCCGCGATCAACAAGGTTATTAGTATCGACCGACAACAATGGAGTGAGGCGCGTGGGAGGGGGAGGGGGGGGGGCGGCCCCGCCCGGTTCCCGTAAGCGGAAGCCGGGCGGGGGTCACCCCAGGCTGGTATAAGAGGGAGCGCCCGCCCTCAGTTGGCACTCCTCAAGTCGAACAACCAGCTTCAACATGCAGTCTCTGGTAAGTGACACCTCCATGGAACGCGTTAAATGTAAAGACATGCACCTATCTTCGCTGAGTAGGAATAACAGAGGTCAAACACTTCCCAAAAGTGCTTACAGCGCCAATCAAGCACCAGTTCTCGAATGGTTCTCCAGTCCACATCACTGATCTGTGTCCGTTTTCTCGGCTCCACAGATGGTGTTCGCTGTGCTGGCCGCCGCGGCTGTGCTCGGCTCTGGATCGCTGCTGTACAGCCGGCCGCTGGGCTATTCCGGGCTGCTGGCCGCCCGGCCGCTGGGTTACTCTGCAGTGGTAGCCAGCCGGCCGCTGGGATACTCTGTAGCTAGCCGGCCGCTGGGCTACTCTGCTCTGGTAGCCAGCCGGCCGCTGGGCTACTCGGTGGCCGCGGCCGTGACGCCGGTGGCCGTCGGCACCGCCACCGTTTCGCAGTCCCACCAGCAGGACGAGCTCGGCCAGTACGCCTACGGCTACAACACCGGCACCTCGGCCAAGAACGAGGTGAAGACGGCTGACGGCGTGGTGCGCGGCTCCTACAGCTACGTCGACTCGTACGGCATCCCGCAGAAGGTCAGCTACGTGGCCGACGCGCTCGGCTTCCGCACGGTGGCGACCAACCTTCCGGTGGCCGCCCACTGAGTCGGCTCTCCGTGCGCCTGCAGGGGGCGGTCAGACGGCTGTGAAGGGCACTCCTTGCTCTGTGAGATGGATGTCTTTCCACGTGGAAGTTCAGAAGCAGTGACGACCTCGGTCGGATGTCGTCGGTGCTGATGACGATCTGCGCTGATTCCATGTTGCATGCTGGTTCCTTGAGGAGTATTAGCCAGTCTGATGACATTAGGACCGTACGCGGTCAGTTTTGTCTTCGTTCAGTCACACTGTACCAGGTGTCCATGGTCTAAGTGCATACCAAGACAGGGCTGTGTTTGTGCGCAATGTTTTTTTGTGTGATAAGTATGCTCTGATAAGGCTTAGTAGTTAGCTTACCAAATCTGATAGACATACGTCGTCCACTCCAGAAGTTTTGAGACTGGCCTCGTAAAATCCATATGAACAGTGCTAAATACTTGTTGTTCTCACAAGTCCTTACCACAGTTGTTATAAACGTACTTGCGTAATTTTGTTTTTCTTCGTTGCAAAAGACGGCTACGGTGTCACCCTGAACATGGCAAGTCGCACGCGGCTTGTCACAGTGACCAGTGTAGAGCACAGTCAGGTTGTTCATGTGAAGACAACTTGGAGGGTCGCTGTGCAATAAAATTTTGGGATTAGCTTGGCAAAAATGCCCGAGAAACATAGCAAATTGACTCTCAAGTGACTTGAGACGAAAGCTGGATGTATTTTTACCATCATGAGACCAAGAGACAGAAGGTCCCATGAAAACATGCACTGATTCCTTCCGACCCAATCAAGACAGACAGCGCAGGTCCACTGGGAAGCTCAAATTAGTCCCTTACTTAGAACAAAAAGGCAAAAACTTCATAACCTGGGTCCCCTACACGGCCAGATGGTCAACAAGGAATGATTCGTGAAGGTTCTGAGGGAGTTGAGAAAGAGATTTCACCGCAAGAGGTCGGAACTCTTCAACTGTGGCCAGGGGCTCCTGCACCAGGACGGCGCACACACCCACAAGTCCACCATGGAGACGAACTATCTGACACAGATGTGCGTCAAAACCGTCCGTAACCCTTCCCACTGTCCTGATCTGGCCCCCGTGGCTTCTGGATGTTCCACAGACTGACAGGGAAGCTCAGGGGCCGTCTTTCGGAGGATGTGGAGGAGATGAGTGAGGCTGTGACAGAGGCCCTGGGCACCTTCACTTTGAAGGCCTATCAGCAGGGCTTCAGGCAGTGACAGGAGCGCTAAAGCAGGTGCATTGGACTCGGGAGGTTCCATTTCGAGAGTCATACAAGTTTCATGCTTCTCTGAAACAGACAACTGTCTCTACTGAAAAAGTCTCAAAACTTCTGGAGTGCACCACGTAGAGACTCCAGTTCAGTCACTGTGTCAAAATAGCATTTTTTATCACAAGATCTTTCACAAATCCTCACATTTGTCCCGAATAGATTGCTGTAATGTATATAAATATGACAGGACCCGCGGATGCAAAGCTGCTTGAATGAAAATCAAATGTGGGAATATACAAATGACCTGATATTTGCACCTATTTGACATTGACATGACTGATATTGCATGACCGATTTAATGGTAAAATGGTTAAATGAGAAGGCGAGGAGGTGAGCCATCAGCCAGCTCTTCCTGGGAGTTATCTAAATTCTTATATGTTCATAGAAAAGGTAAGCTATGACTAATCGAGCTTTAAAAATTTCATCGAAACAGCTTTACTCTTACTAACCCGGCGGCCACTGGGCCTCCGCGCCACCCGCCGGCCGCTCACTGAGAGCTGTTTTGATTCCTTTTAAGCATATTAGGGGAATTGGTCTAAAACAACACCCTGATCATTTCTCCGAATATACCCCAAATACACTTTCTTTGAATATCACTCTGAAATTCTTCTAATATACCCTACACTGAGAACCTTTTTTATTCCTTTTGAGCATATTAGGGGTTTTGGTCTAAAACAACACCCTGATCATTTCTTCGAATATACCCAAACTATACCCTTGTTCTTTAAATAGCTCCCTTGAATTCTTCTAATATACCCTAGTAAGTACCGAAGAGGAAAGGAATATGATTCCCTATTCCCTGCGATACCCACAGTACACTCCTTTTAACCTACCAAAATACCCTTACATCGAAACCTCTAGTATTCCTTCTAAGCGTATAAGGGGAATATTTTGCAAATTATACTCGCATTATACCACGTAACACTCCCGTATTATTCTGTGATTTCCATCACTGATCTCAATGTATTCTTGCATTAGACCCCACATAAACCCAGAAGGGAAAATAATAATGCCCTAGGTATATTCGTCGTAAAACTTGCTCAGAAACTGTCTCATTACTCTCAGCTCCCTCGTCCGATTTCCCTTTATATATCGTAACACATTCAAAACGAGGGTTAAGGTTCTATCCCCAGCAGGGCGCGTATGGCTGAATAGCCCAGCGGGCCGCGGGTTAGTGGTCAGCAACACGTCCAGGGAGCGACTGCCCGTCCTCCTCGCCCGCCCGGCCGGCCAGTCCCGGCCCGCCGACCGGTCACCGCCGGAGGCGCCGAGCGGCACAGGTACGGTATCTGACAGTAGCGGCAGAGACTGTACACTAGGGTATATTAGAAGAATTCAAGGGAGGAATTTAAAGAATGAGGGTATAGTTTGAGTATGTTCGAAGAAAATGATCAGGGTGTTGTTTTAGACCAAAACCCCTGATATGCTTAAAAGGAATCATTTGAGGAATCATTTGAGTATCTTAAGGGCATTCCGCCAGGAAAACGGCAGAGTTATAGGAGCATGACACACCATGATCAAAGGGAATAGAGAATCGTTTTGGTTTTCAGTGCTGGGGCGGGGGGGGGGGCATATAATTGCCCCCTTTACTTTTGCGACGATATCGTCGCAACGCGAAGAGGTAGAGAAGCGAAACTTTGCACACAACTTCCTGAATACCTAGCCAAGGTTGTGTCCAAATTTGGTGTCGATCCCATTTGAAATGACGTCACAGTGACGTCATAAGTGAAATTATAGAGTTGCGACTCTCATATTCCTCACGATATATCAGATATATGGGCCCGAATATAAAGGGTCGATTATTGGTCAAAAACTAGATGGAAGTGTAGTAAAATGTTTTAGGATGACAGCAGGTGCTGTCTAGTTCATTTACAGTTGAGTTTCATGCTCAGCGTCATCAGAAACGGTCCATATCGGAAAACGACAAAACTTTATGACGTCACTGTGACGTCATCTTAGGTGCTACAACCACCAAACTTTCCTTAAACATTGCCTCGGTATTCATTCGAAGCTATGCCAAGTTTCACGTTCGTAGCTCATCAGACTTCGGAGATATTTTACAAAACGTAAATGGGGGCAACTTTATGCCCCCCCCCCCTCCAGCGGCTCGTGGGTTGTTGCACAGCGACGTGACTTTAGAGACGATATGAGTTTTGAACAACCCACGACACCTTTATCAGAAGCGTGACTCGTGAGCCGTGACGAAATGTTACCAAGCGGCCTGAGCGCAGTACATTGTGGATAAAGGGCCGGCTAGCGGTCCAGCAAGTGGCTGAGAAATAGTAATAGTTATACATTGAGGCATGAACAGTTCTGTTGATCGACAATGCTTAGCAACTGGCTGACAGCTTCTGACCTGCCAGACTGGCGTCGAATCAATGTCAGCGTAAAAAGTGGACAACTGGATCTACACTTATGATCTAGGTGTTAAGTCAACAAGTTTTTTTTTTTTATAAGAATCTCAGCCGGCCTTGACCCAAATCCTTGACCATTGTGATGGCCTCGGCCCTTCATCACCCCGGTGACACTTTTTCTTCCTTTGTTCGCTCATGCCTTGACGTGGTGATAGTGGTGTGGTACACCATCATTTTATTTTTTATCGCATTACGTTCGGTGACAATCAACAGTCAACACACCACAGCAAATATAATCAGTAATGAATGGGACGCCTTTTCGGGTCACAGGCGAGTGAACGTAAAAGTTAACTTTAAAATCCGCAGCCCTGCAAAGTGAGACACCCAACTGAAATGCAAGCATCACTAATCTACCCGGTTCCTATCAGCCCAACGATTCTGAGCGCGATTGGTCCAATTGTTCTTGAGATATAGAAATTCGAAACGGCTCTCGCAAGTGCACAGGTGCCGAGTGAGACCCCAACTGACCTGTGTGGATCACCCCTCTAACTGTTTCATAACAGTACATCAGCATTGAGCTCAATCTGCCCGGCCATTCTTAAACGTTGTTAGTTAGGAGCGGTTCCTGCTTGTGCGCGCATGCCAAGTGATGCCTCAACTGACTCGTGCACTGTGCAGATCTCTTACCAATTGATCCTGACAGGAAAGCCAACCAACTTGGAACGCGATCTGCCTACCCGTTGTCGATAATATATGAGAAACAGCGCGAACATATACTAGTACGATTTGAGCGCAATCATTGCGGAGTTTTAGTAAGCGGAATAATTTCGAAATCCCTGATTTAACATGGACACGCGCTGTGACAATACCAGATGCATTAAGAGGAGTCAATTTTGGGGCAGTAGCCATGGTAGGACTGGGGCTACCCATTGTCTAAGAAAAGAGACGATTTGTAAGTTGTCAAATAAACAGTTCGGAGTTCGGAGTTCTATGCATATTGCATAGCGGCTGCAAAAACCTTGAAATCTCTCAAGGACCGTGAAATCGATGACATGTGTGAGAGCGCTTGAACCAAAAGGCAAATATCTACGCCAGGCAAAAAATAATAATAAACGATAAAACACTGGAATCGACCCCCAGTGTAGCCTGAGCTTCATTCCTAAAGGGAAGTTGTAGGTATATCTTGGCAGCCATCTATGCGTTTCACAAGCCTTGTATGTTGCAGCGCCCCATCCGCTCTACCTTGCCATTTGTGTATTGTGACTGTAAGTTAGAGAACATGACTTATTATTCAGGGCAAACGGGTAAGTAGAATCATATACAACCGGAGACCTGAACCCACAAATTATTATGGCTAAGCAAGCAATATTTTGCCTGACCGAAACAAAACCTAGACATTGAAACACAACACATTGAAAACTCTCATAGCAGCAATCCAGTGCTTGCGGTAGTCGGTAAGAATGCTTACCGATCTTACTGAGACCCGCAGCGCTGGCTGCAATGGCGTAATTTCCCCGCCCCGACCCGGCCGGTCAGCGTCCGGTCACACGGTACTAAGCGAGGCCGTGGAGGGGGGGGGGGAGGCGGAGAGGGCCGGCGGAGGGATGGACGGAGGGAGGTAAGGAGGAGGGGTCCCACCTCAGGTTAGCGCGCACACCCACGGTGCTTATCTTATCTCTAATCAGACGTACGGCCGGACCCCCCGGACTGCGCCGGCGGACGGCGGTCCCTTTGATCCTGCCGGGGTCCCGCCGCTCCTG